TATGAATCCTTGTCTAGAGTACGTTTGTCTTTATTGTAAAAATTGAATTCTTAAAAAAAAAAGTGAGTTTCTTTGTAAACCCCTCCCTTAGTTTCTGAACAGATTTCAATTTATTTTATAAATGGAGGAATAGTTTATAAATATTTGGCCATCCCAGAGAAAGCGTGCCTCAGCTTTACTTAGAAAATACCCTTCTGGTGATGTGGTAATGGGTTCTCAGTTCCTGCTAGCTGTTTTATCTCTCACAAAGCACAGTTGGTTGACATAACTCTGCAGATACCTAGACATTTCCATGTGCTACTGTGAAGCTGTTTCTCCCATCCTAGTTTGAAGCAGCTGCTTTGAGACCCCGAATCATCATCCCTAAACTTATCCCTTTAAATTCTATCTTGTTCCATATGGCCCAGTCTCTAGCTATACCATGATCCTGATCACTGCATCTGATCCAAAGAGAACCCAAGGAAAAGGAGAAATGGAAGAGTAGAATTGTGCACAGCTGAAAATGAGATCAGAATTCCAACATTCCCCGGAAGTCATGAGTATTACGAAACAAAACCCTCTCCAGTCACTGTACCTCATTTGTGGGTTTTCCTGGTTAACTAAAAATGGTGATGCTGGGACCATTAATACCGACTCCATCAACGCATCCCCCATGTCTTATTGTAAAGACTAAATGAAGCCTTTCTGAATGTGGCTGGAGTGAGAGAAATATTTGGGGCTGTGAGCTGGACACCTGGTTTGCTCTGGCCTGCTCAGGACCCCGGGTGCTCTCAGACAGCTTGATGTAAACTCTGAATTTGGGGCAGGTACAAGCTTCTTTGAAAAGGAGGGACCAGCTTCCTCTGTTTTCTTCTTTCGAAGAGCCAAGGAGAAGGATGAAAAGAAAAGGCTTGCACATATTCAAAAGTATCTGTATGCTTCATTTAACACAATGCTTTCATGTTTTATTTATGACATTAAAATTTGTTTTGCTTGAAAACGGAAGCTGATGAGGTCTAGAAGGAAAAAAAAATATGAGTCATACAGATTTTGCTTCTGTGTATACTGATAAACCCCAGCCGGTTCCCTCCAGCACTATTATTTCCAGGTGTGAACAACATGGAAATATTCTACATTTTTGGCATGGTTGCAATGAGGTTTCACTCTGTTTCCCAAGTCTCTGAGAATTTCATTCTGTTGATCAGCTTATCTATTCCATCTCTGTTCTGCACTATCAAAAGCATTGTCGTTACAGGGGCTGGAGAGATTGCTCAATGGATAAGGCAGTACTTGCTACTCCTCTACAGGACTTACACGGTGGCTTCCAACAGCTGGTTTCTCCATTGCTGGGGTCTCTAACGCCCTCTTCTGGCCTCTGCAGGCACTGAGAATTCATGTGGTGCACCGACATGCACGCTGGCAAACACCCATGTACATAAAGTAAAATAAACGTATCTTTAATTGCCATAGCATTACCTTGATGTGTGGGACGAGCTCTCCTCTATGCTGTTACTTCCAGAAGTGTCTGACTTTCGCATCGCCCTTTGTTGTTGTTTTTACGTCTTCTTAATCCTTTTGTTAAGTTCTGAGAGTAGTATAATTAATATTTTTATTATGCCCACCCTGAATTAATCAAATGATTTGATAACAACATTTTAAAAACATCTGATGCTATTGTCTTTTTATAGAGCCCTGCTAGTGTTTCCATCAAGCTCTTATACAATTTTTAGACATGGTACTTTTCAAAAGTTTGCTATTTCAATTGTGCCTTTCAAAATATATTCTGATTGTCAGTGCTAGTATTTTAGAAGTAAACTGGCTGGCTCATCTGCTGTCTGTCATGGAGTGTAACCTCAACCCTTTGGGATTGCTTTGTAGGCAACCACTCCACCTATAAATCAGCAAACACATGCTTTCCTTCCCCATCCTAGACACTTTTTCTTACATAATTGAATTGGCTGTCTAGGAAATTGATAATTTTGAATGTTGGGTATAAAAGATCTCATTGTACTTTGGACTATGTGTAAACATCACCAGCTTAACAAACATCTATGCCTGCCTCCCATATGCCACACATTGCTACAGCACTGAAAAGAAAGGCAGAAAAAAGAAATTTCCCCGTCCTCGTTAACTTTACTTTCTACGTGGTTAGAAAAAAAAAAAATGTGTAAAACTTGCCTGAGCCCAGTGATGATGCCCTGTGGAGAGGAAAGCTAAGGGGGGGGGATGACAGCTCATAATAAAAGCAGAATGAGTTGTAACTGTACATACAACTGTCGTGGAATGTTCCATGGAGAATGTGATATTTGAGTCAAGACTTGAAAGCATTGAGCCCCAAGGATGGAAGAGTATAAAGGCTTGGACACACATGTGGGTACCAGACATGGCTGAGAAGTAGCCAGGAAGTCAGTGACCTGCTCAGAGTACGTGATGAGGAGAGATGTGCACTCATCAAAGGAATGGTGAAGGCAAGAGTTCGGCTCTACTCTTCAGCGTGTCGAAACTGCCGGGAGCTGTTTGAGCAGGGTCAACTGAGAGACTCTTGGCAGAAATGATTTGTCTGTGTTTTAAAGGAAAAACAAGCTGCTGTGTTAGGAGTAAATGAGTAAAATGGGAAGACCTGGGAGGCAGAGCCAGAGGGAGGAGATGAGTTAACAAGCCTCACACTTGCCGGTCTGTTGATGTGGGGTCTGGATAGGATAGAGGGGCCTGGGAGGAATATAGAACATTGCCCTGAATGATTAGAACGATGGGCTGTTCCACTCACTGAAATTAAGAAAACTGGGAGAAAGTTTTGGGAAAGATAATAGATTAGGACATGTTATATTTGAGGTGCCAAGTTGAGAACGCCGTGAGGAGATGTCAACAAGGATGAACCCTGAAAGGGAAAAAAAAAATACATCTCAATTTGGCATCGTATTTTGAGAAACTTTTTAGCAGAATCTACTTTTTAAAGAATCAACGGTTTCAGGAAGAAAGAAATACAATCAAATAGCAGGATCGTTCTAAGGGCAGATCACTGTGGCGATCCTAATTTTGGAGGTGGAGGAGATGAAAAGGAAACACTCGCGTTGGCCTGGAAGAGATGAGGGACATAGAAAGAACATGCCCAGGAAAGAAACCAAGGATAGTACTTCCAGGACTCGTCAGAGTCTGTCTTACTCACTCTATGCTGCTGTAACCAATTTCCATGGGCTGGGTGAGTCACAAACAAGGGAGATGCGTTTATCGTGGTTTCATGGGCTGGGAACCAGCATTTGGAGTCCAGTATAGCAGGTTCTGATGGACTGCTGACTCCGCTTAGTATCCTGATGTGGAAGAAGGCAGGAAACTGTCCTGTCCTGGGGTCTGTTATATAAAGGTAGTAATTTACTCACATGGAGTCCATCCCCCCCCAAACTTGATTATCCCCAAAGCCTTACCTCTTTAGTACCATCACACTAGGGACCAGGGCAGGAATTCAGTGTATTGATCTGGGGGTGATGAGTTCAGCCCATTTAATACTGAATGCTACCACTAAGCCTGCTCTTGTCTAAATTTATTCCATCACTGTAACACAATACCGGGAGCTCAGCTATGTATAAAGAAAGGTTTGCTTTGGGCCTTGAAGTTCTGGAGCCTGGTAACTTTGAAGGTAGGGCCCCAACATCTGTGGTGCAGGCCACATGCTAAGTCAACACAGGGCACAAAACAGCCAGCAGGTAGGCATACGTGAAAGAATGGACTAGGGCCAGCTGAGGTAAAATAACCTACTCGTGTGGTAAGTTCAGTCTCACTGGAATTCATTCGTGGTTTCCCAAGGGTAGACCCAGGATGAGCCAATCACTTGTTAGGACTTTGGCCACCCCTACTGCCTCTAGGCTTCAGTGCCAGTTTTACCGAGACAGCCTGACACCTAACCCACCATGGTTCAGTAAACAAGGAAAAAAAGTGTCTCTTGGATTAAAAGATACAGAGACATTGTGATGTCTACAAAATCAGTTTCAATAGTTGGGAAGGTCAGTGTCCCCTTTTCCTAGTTTATATATTTGGCTCTTTCTAAACAGACAAACTTAGGAGCTTTATCTTAGCCAATCATGAAGTCCGGTGTCTTCTCCCCCCTCCATTTCAACGCTTAATTGTTAACACTGTGGCTCCTACCTCTGATTTCCTTTTCCTCTGACTAGAGTCCAGCAGGCTTAAGTAATATACAGAGTCAGTCAGAAATAATCCCCACTCCTGAGTTTTCACTTGGCTGAATGTAAAATTCCCGAGTGCACATTCTCTCTCAGCATATGGGAAGTATTTTTTTCCCCTTCCCATTACAGCTTCCGTCAATCAAAATGTTATTTCTCTGTTATTAGTTCCACGTTCCCCCCTTGGCTTTATAAATCTGTGTCTTGCTACATGTGTGAGTGTGGGTTTATTTTTACCCTATCTGTCTTGCTGCTCAGCATGTGGTGTGTCCTTTCCCTGTGAGTCTCTGTTTTGCTTTCTTCTGAGAAGTTTCCAGCCAACCCCCCTTAAAAATCTCACACCCCTGACAGTCTGTTAATTCTGTTCCCTCCGCTTATGCTTTCATCCTTTGTCTTTACTGCATCCTCACCTACCCCTTGAACCTATAATTTAATTCTTCTGGGGTTTCTTTTTACATCTGGCTTTGGATTTGTTTATTTTATGTGCATGAGTGTTTTGACTGCATGTTGTGTATGTGTGCCACGTGTGTGCAATGCCTCAAATGGCCAGAAGAGGGCACCAGATCTCCTGGAACTGGAGTTCCAGGCTTCTTGCAAGTCCCCTTGTGGGTGCTGGGAATTGACCTGGGTCCTTTGCAAGAGGAACCAATGGTCCTAACCACAGAGCCGTCTCTCCAGATCCCGGGGCTTATTCGGAGAAGAGATCATCCCAATGCTCTGAGATTTCCATTTCTGATTCATTGTGTCTAATCTTGTTTCCTTTCACTTACCTTTATGACTTGGCTTTTCACACAACCTTGTATTTCCTGTCTCCCTTCAGCCAGCTGGGCTCTGAAGCAGCTGAAATGAGAAAAAGGCAGCAAGCCCAAAATGAAGGAACACAGGCTGTGTCTCAAGCAACTGGAAACCAGAGGCCCAACAACACCTGTTGCTTCTGCTGGTGCTGCTGTTGTAGCTGCTCCTGGTAAGTCCATACCACACCTGGTGTCAGCACACTTACCAAAGCTTCGTCCCACAGAAGCCTGGCAACCTGTTCGCCTTGCCCACCGTGTATGGAGACATTTCTGAAAACCGTCACTGACGTAAGACAAGCATCCCAGGAGCAAAATTAGCTCCCTTAGCACTGACATTAAAATGTTAGCAAGGTAAAGAACGGAAAATTGCTCATGTCATGCTTTTTCCTCTGTGCGTGCTTCTTAGGGATATGGGCAAAAATAAGATCACAGTTATAAGATTACCTACCTTACCTATTAGAGACAAAGAATATGATGTTTGTTGCAATTTAACCACTGACACATGCAGGGATATCTGCTTATTCTTTTTTCCCCCCTCTTCAAACCATAAAGAGAAGACAAGCTGGTCTCCAAGGTTCCTGTCTTGGGCTAAACGTCAGTGATTCGGGTCTCTTTCAAGGTTCAAGATTCACAAAGTGCAGTGAATGGGAAAATCAGTTCATTCAAAAATCTGAGAGTTCCATGGATTAGATAGCTCAAGATGAGACTAGACTCACTGGAACTTTTCATCGAATCCTACGCTTGGGGGTCTTTCAAGACCCCATTGTATAAGTAGAACTAGTAGGGTAGCAGTGGCTACTTGGTCTCCCTGGTCCATTTCAAAACCTGGCAGAAGACCCATGTGGTTGAACCATCCTCTACACGGCCTCCAATATTTCCTGATGTCCGCGGAGGTTGGCCTTTTGATATGGTCCCACTTCACCGTGGCCAGGGCAGAGGATGGAAGTGTGTCCTCGTAGTAGTGACGTGGTGGTCTTCTCTTGATGATGAACAAGTTGCAGCTGATCAAGAACTCTACAGGCTCAGAAAACCTCCAGGTATTGCAGTCATCAGGAAGGCTCAGACTGGTTATTTTTATAAGTATAAAATTTGCTCCCTAAGTGACGATTCTCTGTTAGGGAAAGTCATACACAATTAGCCTGCATTCAATTTCGGATGGAGGAAAGTGATTTCTAGATGGGGTTACTGTCTGCCATACCATAGTTACGTTTGTTTTTTTGTTTTTGTTATTTGTTTTTGTTTTCTCATCACTCCTACAGAGACTATTGAGTACAAGTCTTAACCCGTGAAACACCTAGTGAGAGTTCTTAAGTCAGACTGCCAGAGATGAAATTGTGACCAACTGCGTGACCGATAATAAGTTAGCTCATCTTTCTGGTCCTCACAAGCCTCATCTGTCAAATAACTAATGTGAACCCATACCTCATAAAGCTATAAAATGAAATGAGATGCTATGTGTGGTACGCTAAGAGGAGCATATGACACAGAGTGAGCATTTAATATGATTTAGCTCCCCGGGCAATGGGAAATTGCATTTTGGAATAATAAAATCTGCTCAAACAGTGTAGTGCAAAATTAAAAAAACAAAACAAAAAACAGCATGTTGGGCCAGTGAGATGGCTCAGCAGGCAAACGGTGCCGTATGAGCCCGGTGACCTCATTTTGACCCCTGGAACCAACATGGCGTAAGCAGGGAGGCCACCCTGAGGGGTTGTCTGCTGACTCCCCACCCCTGTCACAGCATGCTCATGCCTGCACACGCAAGAGCACACACACACACGTCATAATGAAAGCTTAGAAGCAGCATGTAGACACGACACAGAAATTATCCTAGGAAATCAAACTACTTTATTCTAAATTCTGTCTAAACATCAGAAATACGGTTACATGCTCTTAAAGGTGGGCTTCTACTTCTCATTAGCTATTTACCATGCTCTTGAGATAAGCTATTGTTTTGTTTGCCCGGTAAAATGTAGTTTTTAATTTTTTTAAATTTATCTTTATGTGTGTGGATATTTTGCCTGTATGTACACCTATGCACCATGTGCCTCCCTGGTACCCGGAAAGACCAAAAGAGGGTGTCAGATCTCTAGGGACTGGAGTTACAGATGGTTCTGAGGTGCCATGTGGGTGTTGGGAATTGAACCCAGCTCCCCGGGGAGAGCAGCAAGTGAGCTTAACCGCCAAGTCATCTCTCCAGCCCCTAGTTCTTCATTACTTTCACAATTAAAACACTCTACAATAGTCTTAAAGTTGGGCTGCACTCTGCTAGATGCCTAACAAATACAGACATTTGTGATTTTAACAACAGGGGCATAGTCTGAAAACTGTAAACATGGTCATTCATTTCTTCCTTTACATAACATCATACCTAAGCAAACCTAGACCATGCAGGTCAATCGCTCCATGTCTCTCCTTGAGGACTCCCTGGGCAGGAGACGGATGCTGTCGGTGTAGCTTTTGGGACTACTTTTATGAATGATATTATTTTTATTTTCGTGTGTGGGTGTTTTACCTATGTGTGTATGTCCATGCACTACATGCTTGCAATAACTGCCGAAGCCAGAAGAGGGCACCGGATCCCCTTGAACTAGAGTTATAGACGAGTGTGAGCCACTAAGGGGTGGCTGGGAGTTGAGCATGGATCCTCCAAAGAACAACCAGTGCTCTTAGCTCCCCATCCCTGTGACATTATACCTATTAGTGCACTCTACCAATAAAAAGCACAATATAGTAAATACAAAAACAGATACCAACTTTCAGTAGCAAGCGTGTACTTCACATAGCTACATGTGCTGTGTGTTCATATGACCTACGGGATACGTGATCGCCTACACCAGTGTCATCATAGATGAGGGGGGCAATGTGTTGCACCGCAACACAACAGTGCTTAAGTTGTTGCTAGGAGAGGGAACGTTAAGCTCCGTTATATTCAAGGACCACTGTTACCTAATGTCTGTCACTGATTGAAACATTCTTATGTGGTGTGTAACTACACTCCATGAAATTTGATTTCATTGCCTCGTAGACATCAATGTGACTATATGTGTTGAATAATCAAATACCCCAACTTGTTCATCAGCATCAAATTGTCACAAGACACAGACTAAGGCTCAAGAACCAAGTAGCTTTTAGAAACTGCATCAGCCTTTTGAATGACAGTGTTTTAGACACCCCCAAAGGTATGATGCCTTGCCTGGGTGCTCTGTTAGCTAGCCTGAAGCTAGAGTCTAGTTGTCAAAACTGCCCTTGTCTGCAGTGGATCACGACTGCCTAAGTCTAGGACTTAAAATTATAGTCTACATATTCACCAGGAATATAAGAGATGACAGATAGTTTCTCTTTTTTATGTGAAATTTTATTGTTTATATTCATTGTACAGAGTGATAGATGTTTTAGCATTAAGTGTACTTTGTATGTTCATCCCCTCGCCTTCCCTTTTCCTACCCCTCCCCCACCCCTTCTCCTATTCATGTCTCTAGATACAAGCAATTTAGGTTTTTCACAAAGCACAAAAATTCAATTGCCTTGCGCTATGGATTTTACTCATAATATTGTTCACATAATTTCAGATGAAAATGTCCTTTATACACAGAGGTTTTAGAATTTCATTATTTTTGTACTTTGAATTTAGGAAAGTAACATTTTTAAGGTTTTATTTATTTTTTTTTTGAGTGAGAAAGTTAAAAAAGAGAGAGAGAGAGAGATGGTCTTTAAATTTTCCAGGCTAGGTCAAAGGAGAAGAACAAAAAGCTCCATGAGAAAAATGTAATTTGGAGCCTAAAAAGCGTTAGGAATCAAAACATGGAACACTGTCACCATGGGTAGGGACTGCCGTGTGACTGCTTTCACTTCCTTTTAAGGAAATAAAGGGCTGAAAAACTAAATTTCTATGTCTAGGCATAAGTGTAAATGCTTCGTCATGGCTTCACAATATGGGCTTTTAAAATACTGTAGCATTTCTTTCAAATTTGCTTTTCTTGTCCATACTTCACTGGCAGCCGTCTCTCATCTAATAATTTACTCCTCCTCATAGAATTATCAGCATGTCATTGTAGAAAGGGGGAGCAGAGTGTGTTCCTGCTGGGTATCTCTGCAGTCTCCTCAAAGCCTGGAGTGGGACATCCTTCGTACTGACTGCTCTGAACTGTCGCCTTGTGAAAGAACCACGTCCTTCCCTAACACTGTCTCTTTCTTTTGTTCCCTCGTGTCCTCCATTTCAAGAAGAAATGTCAAGAAAGTGAGGTTTATACACTGTCTTATATGTGAGCCATGACTGCCCAAAGTACACTCCACAAAATCTGATGATGATGAGTGATGGTCAGTGTCTTAGTGAGTGTTTCGGTTACTGTGATAAAACACTATGACTAAAAGTAACTTGGGGAGGAAACTGTATTTCATCTTATACTTCTATGTAAAAGTCCATCGCTGAGAGAAATAAGAGCGGGGATTTAAGAAAGGGAGGGAATTGGGAAGGACGAAAGGGAGGGAATAAGAAAGGGAAGTGGGAGCTGATGTGGAAACCATGGAGGGGTGCTGCTTACTGGATTGCTCCTTATTGCTTGCTTCGCCTGGTTCCTTATGACACCTAAGACCGCCAGCCCAGGAGTGACACCTCCCACACTGGGCTGGACCCTCCCATGTCAAACATCAATCAGAGAAAATGCACTACAGGTTTGTCAATAGGTCAATCTGATGGGGACATTTTCTCGTTCGAGGCTTCCTCTTTCTAAATGGCACTAGTTTGTGTTAGGGTTAACCAGCACAGTCAGTCAGGTCATGGCTATAAGAAATAAGAACCTGGAAAATTCCTGGCTGAAGCCATCCTGAGCTCTTGTTTTCTGTTTTCCTTGGAATCACTCTTCCTCTGGCTATTTTGTGTATTAGACACAATATTGTGATTTGCAGATAAAATGTTCCCCACCGGCTTCTGTATTTGAACATTTGGTCACTTGCTGATGACGCCATTTTAGGAGACTGCATAATCTTTTTTTTAAAGGTTGGGCTCCTTGATGTAGACCTTTGAGGGCTATTGCACACCTGATTCAAGTCTACCTCTTTCTCTGCTTCCTGCATGTCCTTCCTTATAAAGGGAGCAGCCACCACAAGCTCCCATCTTCACAGAAGTTTCCCTGATATGATGAATTAATGTCCCTTGAAACTACTGGCC